GGCAGGCTGCATCAATCAAGGCCGTTGCGGAAGCTAACGTTTTCATATCCTCCTCCACGCCAGGTCATGGTTTCACCGGTGCGTCACTTCTTCCCCGAGCCCTGTCCAGTATGTGCAATGGGAGCACAGAGAGGAAGACAACTCGTAGGTTTATGCAAAGCAATACCTGGGAAGGATGAAACAACTATTTATTTGACGGCTAATGCAAATAATTTAGTCATGGGAGATTACTGCAGACATGTACGAAGTACACTGGATTCATAACCATATTTTGCCGGATCGAGAATCATACCACGGAACGTACACGCAGACTCGTGTGCTTACGAATGAACAAGAACATACTTAGAACATAAAGATATTCTTTCAAGGTTTTGGTAGTTGACTATGTCGCTCAAGAGTGGGAAGTTAGTCTTTCTAATCAGAGGTTCACGTTTGGAGTCCAAACAGGGCCACAATTAGTGAAACGTTGTACAAATTCAGTCCCAAATGGTGCCTAGAAATCGCTTCTTTTACATTTCCAAACAACATTATCCAGTAACAGATAAGGCGATAGCTATTGGGTTAAAACATCATCCGCTCTCAGGATCTATTTACACAGTCATTCGATGATGCAGTGCCCTCAAGCCGACACTAGTGTCGAAGACAAGGATGGCCGCTGGTATGACTTTGTGACCTAATCAAGAGGTGTCGGGTCCCAACCCTGATTGTTTTCACAAGCAAAACTACCAAACATGTTCTTCAGTTTCGCTCTTCTACCACGTCACATTGTGGAATACTGCAATCGAAAGGTTGCTTCTGGAAGGTACAACATATCGGAACCTCTTTCTGTTTCCCAAATAACCGTATTATTTCAGAACAAGGAATTGATTGCCAAAACATTTCGTTTTCTATTCATTCCCTTCAATTGGCTGGGCTACATTTGTGTTTACTGTCGCATTGGAATTTATTGCTTGGTTTCTGCTATGTTCTCTCGACGTTCGTATCTCAGGGAATTAATACTACGCCTAAAGAATATTTATTATTCTTCTGTGTTATTCAACTCACATGGTTCTGCCCAAGCTGGATTTTCTGCTCCAAGTAAAATACCAAAGCGTGCCGGGTGGCAGACTGCGCTGGCACACATTCCTCCTACGAAGATGACGGTTCCCTCATTATTCAGTTCGAACATTCATTCGCTGATTAGCATACTCCCTGACCTCAATGATCCAATAACTTATCGCGTGCATACAAACATGTGTGATATGCATACAGGAATCATGGCTCAACCAGAACATAGACGATTCACTGGTCAACATACCTGGTTTTGCAAGTTTTTACCAAGACAGAGAGGGAAGCAAAAAGAAGTCCGGAGGCGAGGTAATAACCTACAGTAACTCCAGTTGGTGTGGTAAGTCCGAAACGTTGTCTACTTTTTCCTCTTATGGTATTGACTTTCTAACTGTTTCATGTCGACCTAGGTTTCCCCCTTATCGGAGCACAGTTATTACCAATCTCTGCATCGCCACTTCTTGCTCACAGGTTGTAATTAGCTCTTTCTACGATGCATTTGTTCCTTTCATTGTTCCCTTAGTTGGCGATAATTTAATTTTAATTGTTGGTGATTTTAATCACGGATCAACCCAACCTTTACTTTCTGTCGGTCTATCAGATCTATCTCTAATACCCACCAGAGGAAATGCTGTTTTGGACAAGGTTATTACTAATCATCATAATATTTTCTCTCTCAAACTCAAGGCGCCAATCTCGTCTAGTGACCACTGTCTCCTACATCTTAGACCAAAGGTTTACTCTCGCTTAGCATACCCCTCTTTTACTCAAACAAAACAAATGAACTTCAGAATTCGGAACCTCTCAGCAGACAGACTCCTTCTCCTCAAAAAATTTCTTGTTATTATCTCCTCATGGTTTTCGGTTCAACAGTCTTCCTGTTCTCTTGAACATTTTACAGGAAAAGCTAACGTGATTTTCAATCTATGCTGTCCTATGGAAACAGTTTTTGTTCACACTGGCAGAGTATGATGCTCTCCGCGGCTAAAAGCTCTTAGAAGACAAAAAGAACTACCGTTCAAGATGCATCAAACAGTCACTGTCAAAAAGCTTACACTGGAAATCAGGACGGAGATCAAGATAGTGAATGCATCACTCGCAAAGCAGGTTCTAGGAGCTGGAGATGGAAGACGGTTANGACAGAAGAAACGGACAACAAACAAAACTGTTGACGTGGGCAGCTTCGATGCTGCATTCATTTATTCTTCGAATATTCTCCTGTCTCTGTACTCCACAGATCACCTATCTACCATAGATCCCGTCACCCTTGAGAAGGTCTATCATCTCAAATATACGAAAATCACGAACGCAGTTGGCCCCGATGGTCTCTCTTCTTGATTGCTCAAATATGGCACCTGCTCCGTCACAGAGATGTTTATGTGCTTTATTAATCAATCCATTTACGCTTGTTAGATTCCGGATTGCCGGAGACCGTTCACCATTGTTCCCATTCCTAAACCCTCTTCCTATAGCATTTTATCTAAACGCTTTCGTCCTATCACCAACATCTCCTCTGTACTCAAGCTTGCAGAGCGCATCATTCTCACCCACTTGCAATCTGGTATTATTGTTCCCAATAACCCCCTCTAGTTTGCGTACAAGCCAAATAGATGCACCTTAAATGCCGTCACTTCAGTGATTCACTTTATGTGCTAATCTTTAAATGATTCTCAAAAGTCTGTTCGTTGTGTTTTCCTTGACTATTCTTCCGCTTTTGATTCCGTTTTACGATCTCTTCTTCTGCAAAAGTTACAGTCATTCGGTTGCTTCACCAACTTATTATCATGGTTAAAAGATTATTTCACAGGAAGGATCCAAAGAACGAAAGCAAACGGCACTATTTCAAAACCGTTAGTGAATAATTCTGGAGTCCTTCAGTGTGCTGTGCTCTGTCCCTTCTTATTTTCAACTTTCATCAGTGACACCCTCAATCCCGCCAGCCAAGACCTTTAAGTATGCAGATGATGTCTTATGCCAAGCTATTTCAAACCAATCGGACACAGAATCATTTTCCAACAGTTTACTACAAGTACAATCATTCTCGAATCAATCCGGTCTCCGGTTGAATACTTCTGAATCCTTTGAATGCATTTTTAGTCTTTCCCGATAGGATTATCCCTCGGAACCCTCAGTCATCAACTCCGTACCCGTCACCAGAACACACACTACCAAATACCTAGGAGTCACCATAGATAGCAATCTACGGCGGTCCTCTCATGTGCTTGCTTGTGTTGGTAGACTGCGTCGCTTATCTTTTCAAGAAAGCACTCTTCGTCAATTTTGCGTCAGACATAAAACTGTATGTTCCTTTGTTTATCATTGCAGTTTTCCAGTCATAATTTATTGTTCGCTCGTTATTTTCCCTGGACTACTTAAAAAGAATTTCAATACTCTACGTCGCGGATTGGTGATTATCAGCCGTGTTTCTATTATTCCTTTAAACACTCTGATCACAAAATTGTGCAATTTGCATATCACTTCATGTGAGAATTTCGCTCATAAGATATCCCAGTCATCTGCTCAATCCCGATTTATCTGCTTGCCGTTCCCATGCTACAACCCAATCCAATGTTCGCTGCCTACCCTCCCGCATAAACATTTATCGGAACTCAACGGTTCCCTATCTGGCTCGTATTCTTACTGACACTGCAAGGATCCGTAACGAAATAATCTTAAATCTACAAAGATAAACACCATTTAGTTTTATCATTGTTGTTTACGAACTTTGAATGCATTTTTTTATCCCACTGTAACGGTGAACACATTTTTGGCTGAAATGTAGGTATAGTTGCCTGCACAAGTCATCTATAATACAATAATATAATACATGGGACACACACGAATGTATTTTTTCAGGCAATCACGAAGAAGAGCGTAATCTGTGTTAGGGATTCAATACAAGTATCGCTCGTAGTTAGCTCATGAGTCATTTTACTGAATACGAATGGCGACCTGGAGGTCAAAAGAACCATTTTAGTCTATTTCAATATATCCGCATGCCAGGTTATTTACAATTAGGTGGTATTCACCTAAGAAAACTCTCTTTTGCGGTACACAGTTAAAATCTGTACCTACTCTGTTTCTGCCTAGGCTCCAAAGGTTTCGCAATGCAAATATGATTGCTCGGTGCGCAGATTTCTTGTTTGCTGAGCCAAATGCGAACAAATGTAACATATCAAAGAAACACCGATTAATTGCAAATCCATCTCTGTCTTAGGCACACC